CAAGGCCTAGGCAGGATGATTGCTTCAGCAGGGAGTTTTAGGTTATAGTGAGCTATGATGACATCACCGAAGTCTAGCCTAGACAACAGAGTGAGGCTCTCTCTTAAAAAAGAAAAAAAAAGGACATATATACCCTGTAATTCTAAATTAAAATATATATTTTACTCATTTTTAGATTATATATTTTAGTTCAAAATACAAGATAATTTAAATAAAATAACTATATTTTAGTTTAAAATAAAGATGATTTTACAGTTATCCTAGAATATTTCTAAGATATTGAGGTCCATTATATTTATAAATTAAATTTGTTAGACCTGAGAATGGTTTAAGTAATTAGAATGGTATGTTGGTCAGTTCAGACAATTAAAAATATATATTGAATTTAGTGCAGTAATTTGAGATGTTTGAGGAAATTTAAGTCATAAATGGGACCAATTGCTTAAGGAATTTTGGTCTGTTGAATGTGAGTTGGTCTTATGTTTAGGTTCCCCCTTGTATTTGATTATTAAAATCTATTAGATATATAAATAGAATGTTCAGATTATTATAAAGATAACTCCAAGACTTAAGAAAAACTAAATTTAAGCATGTATGTGAATTTAATAGATTGAATATTAATTTTTAAAAAGCAAAATAACAACAAATTATCTTTTCTATGCATAAATGCTGTTTGCAGAGACACTAAAAAAATCACTTTAACAGCAATCACTGTTAGCACTGTTACACAGAAGGGTTTGCTACCCTAGGCTATAATAATAATCACCAGTGTTTCCTGAACTCAGTGTAAATGCTGGTCCCTGTTCTGAATAGTTTTCACATATTAACTCATCTGATTCTCCCAACAACTCTACAAAGTTGTTAATATTACTGTTTCCATTTTATAGACAGAGAAATAAGACTCAGAGAGGTAGAATTATTTGCTTGAAGTCACACAACTAGTCAATGGTAGAGCTGGACTTTAAACCAAGACAGTTTTACAATATAAATGGACTTTTAACATAGGAAACCAAGCTTACCCTCTCCATGTTTGCAATATTCTATACTTACACACTAGGACCAAGAAGAATATCATAAATATTTATTTAAAAGATAATGTATTATTCATAATTATCACAATGGACTGTTGGGTGTTAGAATTATATATTTTTCCTTCAAATTTCTACAATACTGTTTTTGGTTTTCTTTGTTTGTTTGTTTTGAGACAGAGTTTCACTGTGTCACCCTCTGTAGAGTGCTGTAACATCCCCGCTCAGAGCAACTTCAAACTCTTGGGCTCAAGTGACTGTCTTGCCTCAGCCTCCCAAGTAGCTGGGACTATAGGCACCAACGCCTGGCTATTTATTGTTGCAGTTGTCATTGTTGGTTAGCTGGCCTGGGTCAGGTTCGAAAACGTCAACTTTGATGTATGTGGCTGGTGCTGTAACCACTGTGCTATAGGTGCTGAGCCTACAATACTTTCCAATATAATATTGTTAAATGTATAGACCAACACTATAGAAGTATATATGATAATAAGTTAAAACTCCTCTTTGTAGAATTAACCATTATTAACAGTTCAGTGTACATGCTTTCAGACTTTTTTCAATCCACATATAAATACCGTACTCTCAAATACTCAAAGACTATGTACAGATTGTGACCTTTTTATTAATTAATCTTAGAGATAC